GGGGGGGGGGGGGGGTACCATTGCAAATTGTGAATGCCCCTTTTTGTTTATGACTGAGATGTTCTCCTATTTGTTGTAAAGTTATTTTTCATTTTTCAACTTTACCATGGGTAGCAACACTTTACAAGGATAAACTATTTATACCAATTTACTTTAAAACTTTGGATGTCAAAAATAAAAAGATACAAATATATTTCTCTAATGTTTTACAAAAAGAAAGAAAAAGATGAGTAATTTCTATAAAACAAAAACTATTACGTTGATAAATTTTATTTTATTTTTAATTTTAACATAGAAAATAATTTTTTGACACTCTGTCTGCATTTAAAAGTTTTCAAGTGAAAGAGTTCGACTTTTAGAGTGGTGCAATCCCTTAAAAGCTTATATTTAAACCTCTCTATCTGATGCAGCTTGAGTCGGTAATATTTTGGAAATTACTTTAAATTGAAAGAAATTAGAAAACAGTCCACATTTTGAAGTTTCATAACTTCATCCTCAATATATATTTTGTTGTTGGTTTTCAATACTAATATGAACGTCAAAATGGCTGAACCTATATTAAAGTATATTTCGATCGGAAGAAACTTTTGGAAATCCGCGAATAAAAACAGAAAAATTGGCTAAACATCTAAAAATGTATGAGAAACAAAACTTGAAATATTTGAACTTTTACAGATCTTAAAAATCTCAATTTACAATTAGTCAGGAGGAATAATGATTAAAACTAATAAGGAAGGGCATTTCTTTGTTTAAAGATGCATATTCTTTAAGAGAGAAGAATAAATTATTTCCGGAAACACAACATATAATTTCAAAATGGCGACGGCCAGCAGCAACTAGGAAATTGAACGCGGCACCGCAACACTCATTACGGACGGGAAACGCAATTTCTAAACAAATTTTACCCTTGACTGGTTGGATACTTAGTTTATGCAAACTTTATGCTTAAAATATCTTTTTTCTCATTAACATCTTCTTATCCTTCAACCTCAGTTTAGTCTGGGAAACAATTGCGGATTTTCCTGCTGAAAATGAAGAAATCCGCCAGTCTAACCTTTAATTGTCCATCTTATGCATCCTTTAAAACAGACGCACATTCTATGCAACACATTGCTTTGAATTCACTTAAAATATGAAGCGCGAATATCAAATCAGATTTTAAATCTTTGCCTTGGCCCCGAAATATGAACTCTGACACGGTAACAGCATTAAACACCACATATCTAAACCCATTTCAATTCCTTTCTTTTAACACTGCAGTTCATGATTTCAATTCCTCATCCCATTAGATTCATTTCTTTCTTTCACATATCTCTCCTCCCACCAACCTTTCTTTTTGATCTCTATACCATTTTTTATCACTTTTTCCATTTCCTTTCTGGCGCGCGCAAAAAAAACCGCGATATATTTTCTTAAAACTTAGTTATTCATCATATTATTAATTAATTTACCTGCACATGTCAAGTTTTGTAATGGCGACTGCAATATCGTAAACAGGAAGACGACGTTCTAAGAACAGATATTTCCCCATATCCGTGAGCGCAGACGCGGCATCAATCGCATCCCGGCCAACTCGATTCCGCTCGAGATACGGAGTAGCATCTCGACCCTAGAATATAAAGAAAATCAATATTGACAAATTTAATGTTAATTATGGTTTTGTTTTTACCCACCAAGATTGAAATGTTTAATGACGACTGGCCTAACCAAAAATGTATCAAACACTAACTTTTCTCAGTAAAGTCGTCTTTGAAGTTTCAATTACCTGTCTTTTTCGCATTCTTTGACATTAATTGCTTTTGTAATTTTCTATTCAACAGACCAAATCAGTTTTTGGATCGCACCAGTGGAAAATTGATTTGAATCACTCAGGATAAAGTCCAATTAGAATCCCCCCCCCCCCCCCGCCCCCCTCCTAATCTAATCCAATATAAAGTACTGTACAGGCCAATAATTTAAAATGAATTAGATACAGATATTGTTTGGGTCCGCCCTAGAACTCAATTTAATATTATATAGAGTACACATATTATCTATTTAAATTATGTGCTTACTACACCCAACCGAGCGCATATACATATAACATCTTAAAATTATGCCTTTTTTCCAAACTTATATAACCTATAGTTTTTTCCCTTATCCTTTCACTATCAAATATGTTTATGAAACTATTGTGTACTTTATCATTCTTCCTCACTTTATCGTGAATTTCATAATTAACGTGCTATAAAGTAATCATCGTTCTATAAAGTTAAATATAGCTGTACATTATAGCACGTGTGCTATAAAGTTTTGATTGGTTCCCGGATTTTCTCAAAAAAAAATTAGGATATTTCCAAAATATTTATTTTCAATTGAAATAAAAATATAAAATCTACTTTATAATTTGACTTCTGCTTTGTTTCAAAGCTTATTTGATCTAGAAACAGCCATTGAAAAAAGACAAATACACAAACGTTTCATAAAACTACCTATAACACTATTATTTTGACACGACGTGCTATAAAGTTTTGGAACTTAAATTTTCTCTATATCTCTAAGGTTTTCGCCTTTTTAGATTTTATTTTGTCGATAAAGAGAAAATGTCTGTCCAAAAACTTTTTAACACTGCGAACCAAAAAATCTTTATATATAATTTCTTCCGAGCCTTTAGTTTTCTATCTTCAGCGTAATTTTGGGTTTATCATACTCTAGGTTCAGTACAGGTTCATTACAGGTTTAGTGCCTGTACTAAACCTATAATAAACCTGTACTAAACCTGTATTAAACCTGCAATAAACCTTTACTAAACCTTTACTAAACGTGTACTAAACCTGTACTAAACCTGTACTAAATCTGTACTAAGCCTGTACTAAACCTGTCCGAACCTGTACTAAACCTGTTATACTTAACCTGTACTAAACCTTTACTGAATCTGTATAAAACCTTTACTAAACCTGTCCTAAGCCTGTACTAAACCTGTACTATACCTTTACTAAACGTGTACTAAACGTGTACTAAACATGTACTAAACCTGTACTAAATCTGTACTAAATCTGTACTAAACCTGTACTAAACCTGTACTAAACCTGCACTAAATCTGTACTAAACCTGTACTAAACCTGTACTAAACCTGTACTAAACCTGTACTAAATCTGTACTAAATCTGTACTAAACCTGTACTAAACCTGTACTAAACCTGTACTAAATCTGTACTAAATCTGTACTAAACCGGTACTAAACCTGTACTAAATCTGTACTAAACCTGTACTAAACCTGTACTAAACCTGTACTAAACCTGTACTAAATCTGTACTAAACCTGTACTAAACCTGTACTAAACCTGTACTAAACCTGTACTAAACCTGTACTAAACCTGTACTCTTTCAATGAAGGGTAATTTAAAATTAATAAATAAATAATTACCCTGGATATAATTATCCCAGCTATAGATATTTTAACACTAGGTCCCTGCAGCAGTTTATATCTCAGGTCTACACCATTCCAGAAGGAAATAACATAGCGTTTAATAGCAATATTGTCTTCACCGTGCAGCCTAAACAAAATAACATAATATATATATTTGAAATTATAATGTTTTTTTTATTCTAAAATATGATTATCTATAATTCTAAGATGTCAAATAATACATAAAGTTCATAAAATTAGTAACAATTTTAAAATCTACAAAAAGTGAAATACTGTGCAGGCAAAAAAAGTTTTAATCTTTGATATATTTCCAAAGAGGAGGAACTAATTCAAATTGACTTTTAAAAAGCCTAAATCTAACTTTTACTTAAAATTATAAGATTTATGAACCCATAGAAAAAAGCAGTAAATCTGGGAAAAGCTCAAGTCTTCAAATTCATAAGTTTCGTTCTCCTATGGATTTAAATCATTTAGTTTTCTTGTCCAAAAGTTTCCCGGATCTTCTAATTTACGAATTGAATTTTTAAAAAAATATCGGAATTTAAAGATGACTTAAAAATTGCTCGTGCTGATAATTAATGAAAAATAGATAGATTATTTATATAATTTGTTTCTTCAAAAGATAATCAGATGTTTTGACAATTTCAATGTTTATTTTTGGTGACAAAAAAAATAGTTGATCAAATTTTGATAATCGCAACTTGACAAGCGTTATATATATTTTATCTATATATTTTAACTATCTAAATCCCTTGTTCAATTCATTGTACTTTACTAAATGCTGAAAAGCTAGTTAACATGCACTTTTTGTATAATTATATTCTTTTTAAAATCTTTAATTTTTTCAAAATTTAAATAAAACATATTGTTCATGTTTAGTTTTTGTATTTTTAATTATTCTTGCAAAAGATAATAATGTACAATTATTTATTATCTTTTCTGAATTATGATAATCAATTCTTGAATCTTTAAAATTCTCTTTAAAAAAATCTAATTAACTTTTTAACAGTTGTGTGGTATTATTACGCATGCGTAATAAACATCTTCTCTACACCGTGAAATTGCGTACAAAGGTCGAGGCGAGAGCTCCAAAAATCAAGGTTAAGCGTAATTAGAAATAAATTTTTTATANCGTGCCCCCGGTGCAACATTGGCAACTTTTTTATTCAATAAAATAAATCTGTGTCATCAATTTTGGAACAAAAGGCTGAAAATGGATTAGAGTGAAGAGAGAATAAAGAGAAAATTCTTTGCTTGAACAATTTATTTTAAAAGAAATGTTTAAGCATTCATATTCTTAAGTGGAATAGCAAGTTTTTTTATTTATTATTTTTTTTTTATACAGTTATTGCTGAAAATGGGCGCAAAAAACGAAAGCAGAATCAACAAAATCTTTTTAAATCTTTTATACATAAAATTACAAAGACCTTGGGCATTTCAAAGGCTATGATTTCTGTAAAAAAAATTTCAGTTTAAAATTTAAAAGCTTCACATCATCAGGTTGCAAAGATAAAGACTTAGAAAATTAGAGTTTGCGGCAAAGATTCTATTCCTTTGGAATATTTCTTAATAATTATCCGCATATAATGGACAATTTTTTGTTGTTTTTAGTTTTTTCTATAATTACTTAGTCTAACTATATACCTGTATCCATTGTATAGTCTCATATATACCTGAATCCGCTGTATAGTCTAATATATACCTGTATCCACTGTATAGTCTAATATATACCTGTATCCGCTGTATAGTCATATATACCTGTATCCACTGTATAGTCTAATATATACCTGTATCCGCTGCATAGTCTAATATATACCTGTATCCACTGTATAGTCTAATATATACCTGTATCCACTGTATAGTCTAATATATACCTGTAGTCGTTGTATAGTCTAATATATACCTGTATCCGCTGTATAGTCATATATATACCTGTATCCGCTGTAAAGTCTAATATATACCTGTATCCGTCGTATAGTTTAATATATACCTGTATCCATCGTATAGTCTAGTATATACCTGTATCCGTCGTATAGTCTAATATATACCTGTATCCACTGTATAGTCTAATATATAAATGTATCCATCGTATAGTCTAATATATACCTGTATCATGCATCGTACAGTCTAATATATACCTGTATCCACTGTATAGTCTAATATATACCTGTATCCGCTGCATAGTCTAATATATACCTGTATCCACTGCATAGTCTAATATATACCTGTATCCACTGTATAGTCTAATATATACCTGTATCCACTGTATAGTCTAATATATACCTGTATCCACTGTATAGTCTAATATATACCTGTATCCACTGTATAGTCTAATATATACATGTATCCATCGTATAGTCTAATATATACCTGTATCCATCGTATGGTCTAGTATAAACCTGTATCCGTCGTATAGTCTAATATATACCTGTATCCACTGTATAGTCTAATATATAAATGTATCCATCGTATAGTCTAATATATACCTGTATCATGCATCGTACAGTCTAATATATACCTGTATCCACTGTATAGTCTAATATATACCTGTATCCGCTGCATAGTCTAATATATACCTGTATCCACTGCATAGTCTAATATATACCTGTATCCACTGTATAGTCTAATATATACCTGTATCCACTGTATAGTCTAATATATACCTGTATCCACTGTATAGTCTAATATATACCTGTATCCATCGTAGTCCACGATGACCAGAATTTCCGGAAAAATCATGAACGGAGCTTGACGCTTCTTCCTGCAAAAAAATATTCATTAAAATATTTACATTTTCAAATATTTAAAACAGATTTTCATCTTTTTAATTTTCGTCATTGTAACTTATATTCTCCTTTTGATGTGAATTGTAAATGAAGGAAATATCTCTTGCATTAAATTCTTTTACAAATGTATCTTATGGTGCTCTAATACCGAGAATTTTATAAAACAGATCAATTGAATTGTATTTTATTTGAGATATAGTATTTCTGATAAGTAATATTTTAATAACTTTGTATTTTTTTGATATTTACTTTTTGGAGAAAGTTTTACAGTATATGCAATTTTACAATGTTTTTTTTTGTGCATAAAAAATCACAAATCCTTCAAAGTTTAAATAAACATATCAAGTTGTTTCCCATCACTAAGCTCCCCTACCCTTGTAGTAATATAAATGTAATAATACATCTAGAATATTTATTGACCTGGATCACGAATTCATCTTAAATAATTTTACACGTGGGGGTTTTAATTATAATTCACGCAACCTCTCTTCTTAAATATCAACCATCTTCATTCAAATTTTACTTTAAATTCTTTAGATTCCAAAATATACTCCCTAGCAACACAAACACTAACCACGGACAAAAAAACTATTTTCTAACCGTTGCCTGCCCTTAGATGCCTTAAACTTTTTTACAGGGGGAAAGGATGGGGTAAAGATACTTTTCTGTAAATAAATTGTTGCCATTTTTCAAACTCAAAATGTTATTTATTATGATTATATTGGATAAGCGTTTTGGAACATTGTTTAGCTAAATACTACCGGCTACTGCATGCATGGATACCTTGCCAATTCTTAGCTTGTAAATCCATCATGTCAATTTTTTCAGATTCATCAATTCATTTATCAGCATTTTCATAAACTCACATCGTTCATTGCTAACTGTGATTGGAGTTTAATTACCAAACTGAACGAGCTATTATAAAATCTAACGAACTGAACGAGCTATTATCTAATATTACGAAAATAACGAGCTATTATAAACCGAACTAGCTAGTATGTAATCTAAAAAACAGATTCATGTACGACTTACGAGCTAAAATATCATCTAAAGCGCACTGAACAAGCTAATTGCTAATCTAACGAACTGAACGATTTGATATCTAATCTAACGAACTGAACAAACTATTATCAAATGTATAACAATATAAACGAGCTATTATATAATCATCTAATCAAACGAACTTTACGAGCTATTATACAATCTAACGAACTAAACGAGCTATTATCTAATATAACGAACTTAACGAGTTAATATAAAATCTTACCAACAAAACTACCAAGTATGTAATCTAAAACCTCAACAAACGAGATAAAATAACATCTATAACGAACTAAACGAGCTATAGTAACTAATCTAACAAACTAAACGAGCTATTATATAATCTAACGAACTAAACGAGCTATTATCTAATACATTGAACAGAATCAGCTATTAGCCAATATATCGAACTGAACGAGCTATTATCTAATCTAATAAATTAAATGAGCTATTATATAATTGAACGAACTGAATGAGCTATTATATAATATAACGAACTGAACGAGCTTTTATCTAATATATTGAACTGAACGAGCTATAATCTAATATATTGAACTGAACGAATTATTATCTAATATATTGAACTGAACGAGCTATTATCTAATATATAACGAACTGAACGAGCTATTATCTAATATATAACGAACTGAACGAGCTATTATCTAATATATAACGAATTGAACGAGCTATATTCTTATATAACGAACTGAACGAGCCAAAATCGTTAAAGGGACTGTCGCCGTTATTTCAAGTGACCCTCAATATAAAGAGTTGAAATTAAGTTCCCAGTCCCTTTAACGTTGAACACAAAACCAAAAATAAATCAATTTTACATATTTGAGTAATAACATATTTTGTTTTGAAGTTAAAGTACACACATCAACGCTCTAATTATCAACCAATCAAATTCTGGTTTTTAGATTGAAAGCCTGTGCTAAGGCTGTGCCCAACCAGAAATGTGCTTACACAGTTTAGTGCTTTACTGTCGTTTTCCATTATATTTGATTCATATAACAAAATTTAGCAAAATGAAAGAAAAGCAAATTTTTTTAAAAATTCTTTCTGAACATTTGCTTTTTTAATCATATCAAAATTTAACTTGGAAGAAGATACATGCCAAAAACCTAAAAACAATCAAAGAGATTTACAACACCTTGCCCAACCCTGAAGGTGAGTGAAAAACAGGAAGTAAGTAACGGAAGACGTATTTTATCTAAGAAGAAGAAGAGGGGGGGGGAAGGAGGTTGAATAAAGTTTAGGATAAAATGTTTAAATAATCCATGGTATCTAACCTTAATCTGAATCTGAATCTGGTTAGCATGAATATTTACGTATAATACAGGGTATATATATACCATTCAGCAGTTTAGGATCTTAGATGTAGGACACAGACAACTGTGGACTAGGAAGATTACTGTTAGACTTTGTCTAATCAAGAATTATTAGACGATAATCATGATTTCTCTATAAATATTGTCATTATTACCGACTCCCACCGCTTTGTCTAATCAAGAATAATTAGATGATAATCATGATTTCTTAATAAAATTGCGTATTTATCGATGCGGGTTGTCTGCAAAAGTGGTGTGCGGATTTCTTGTTAAAAGACACATATCAAAAATGTCCCTTCAAAATGTAAGTCAAACATGTCCATGAAAACATGAAAACATGAAAATAAAGCTGATTACTTTAAGTAAAACTAGAATATGGGTATGAGTATGAGGATGAATATTTTTCAGATAATTTTTAATGATTTTCGGGAAAGAAATGATAAATTTGACATCCAAAGGCAACTTTTTTCATTCTTATTAATACTTTTTACACAAAGATTCTTTGATTAAATCATTTAATTTCCCCAATTTAGCGAATAAAATACAAAACATTATTATGAAAGCAAATGTATTTTCTGTAAGAATAAGAGAGAAAATATACACCCCTGTAAGAAAAAGACTGGGAACGCCCTGAACGCTTTATGTCTCTACAAAGTGAGAACACCTCCTCCCAAATATATATATATATATATATTAAATGACAGTATTTAAAAACGTTGTAACAAAACCGCAACGTAACTTGTGATTTGCCAAATGCAAATAGCGGATGCAAATTTAAAGGGAGAATGCTTCTTTACAGAGAATTCAATATAAACCTTTCGCAATGGACCCTCTACAAATTCTTTGCACTTTGAGAGGCAACTTCCTGGGTTAGTAGAACACTTTTTGCTGAAGTTTTTAAAATTATTTTAATTTTCGTGAACAATTCCATAAAAACCTGTTTAATTAAAAAAGATAAATTTCCTAAATGATATTCAATATTATGCCTTATCATTTATTCTCCTCTTATATCTTTTTATGCGTAATGTAGCACATTTTAATCTATTCTATTTTATTATGTTCTATCCCATTCTAATAATTTATCTATCTATCTATCTATCTATCTATCTATCTATCTATCTATCTATCTATCTATCTTTCTGTCTACCTAATCTATATATCTATCTTTCTTTCTATGTTTCTGCATTAATTTCTTAGTGCAAGTGCCCGTTGGATGATAACTGGGCCTATTATAGAACTTATCCGATAAAAATGGCAACAAAACATGAATTTTGCACCAATCTTATTTAAAGACATTTAGATGTAGATATAAACATTGAAACTGAGTTTTTTCAAAATTTTCTATGCTTATATCTTTGCAACCTGATGGTGAAAACCTTTGATATTTCAAATTTGGACTATTAGACCTAAAACAAATTTTCTGCAACTTAGGGTTGCAAAGATATAGAGATTACACATTAAACTTTGTGGCTTAAACTCTTTTCCTTTGAAATTAAAAAATGCTTTACGAAAATATTAAAACTGCTTCTTTAAATATTTGCAATATAAAATAAGTAAATATTTAAAATTTATGATTGACGTCATTTGCTGCTCTGCGATTATGAATTCTATGACTTGATACGCATACTCGTGACTGTTTATAATGACGTCAAATATTGGATCCGTTGAACCCGGAAATAATTTTGACGCGGCATTCAGTGGAGTTATGCGCTTGCGCCTCTATATATCTATATAGGTGGGAAATTAATCAATTTTTCTCATCGCGAGAATATTTACACACGATTATGATATGTTAATGGACCCAAATTACATTTTAGACAAATATTTTGAGTTCGGTTCTTAAAAATAACATTGATAACATTTACGATGATTATTAAAAAGCCTTATTATTAAACTTGTTTTACAACCCTAGTTTTACGGAGAGTTTTATCGAATAAAACATTCTATGCATAAAAACCAGTTTTAATGAAACAACCGCTTAATCTTACATGTCAAAGTACAAGCGTTGGTAGTTTGTTTTTAACATAATTGCTGGGTAGGCAATCTGCGTAATAAATAGCAGGCTAGCGTACATATTTCTTGACACTCACATGCACATTTTATAATTAACTGAATAAATACAAAGGCGCGTAAAAACGCAAATTTACGCCAACAATAAGTGCCCAAAATTTGCGTATTTTAGAATAACAAAGAGAGACATCAATTTACTGTTTACGCATAAACCGAACCTGCGTCAATATATGCATAATGCAAAGAATCATGCAAGAAATGCGCCCATCCTTAATGACTGTAGTTATATTTCATAATTTTTGCAAAAAAATACAATAATAATAATAATAATAATAATAATAATGATAATGATAATAATAATAATAATAATAATAATAATAATAATAATAATAATAATAATGATAATAATAATAATAATAAAAATAATAATAATAATAATAATAATAATAATAATAATGTGTTGGGTTCAAAGATTAAGCGTAGGTTAGATGTTTAAACTATAGACACAAGGAAAATGTCAAATTTACGTGACATTATTACTGTCAAACTTTGAGACCTCGTAGATTCTTAAAATTTGATTTCATGCACGCGTATTTTTTGCTTGATCATTAGAAAGAAATTGAGACACAAACTCAAATTTTCTAATCAATATATCTTTGCTACCTAATGGTTTAAACTTCTGATATTTCAAACCTAAATTATTGAATCTTACAGAATTCAAAGTTTGAAATATCTAAGATCTACAACAATGTACGCAAAGATATAAGGCTTAGAAAATCAGAGTTTTTGGCGAAAATTCAATTCCTTTAAAACTTTAATTTACTTTAATTTGACGGGAGTTTCTATAACTTAAGCTTTCAGTGATTTGAAATATCACCAAAAAGATGCATTTTTCAAAGAGCTTTTTCTTCAGATTTTTATTGAAAATATAATTTATATAATTGCAAATTTTGCAGTTTTTACTTTTATAATTATACTTCCTACACATTTACTTGGTCGGAACAGCCTGCCTAGTGAACCCGGTGTTATGTGCTCATTTAAGGGGGTTAGAAATATCAAGAAGCTGCAAAGGGACTTCAAACTCTTTTGGTAAAAAAAATTAAGGGGCCAGAAGGTGAGAAAAATACCGTGTCCTCAGCTCTGGTTTAAACATGACATGAATATCTGGGGGTTAAAGAAGGTTAAACAAATACCGCAGTGCGTGATTGGTGATTGAGAGGGGGTTGAAAAGGATTTAAAAAATACCACAAAGTGTGTGGGGGTTGAAAAGGATTTAAAAAATACCACAAAGTGTGTGGGGGTTGAAAAGGATTTAAAAAACACCACAGAGTGTCTGAGGGTTGAAAGGATTTAAAAAATATCACAGAGTGCCTGAGGGTTGAAAAGGATTAAAAAATACCACAGAGGTTGTGGGGGTTGAAAAGGATTAAAAAAATAACACAGAGTGTCTGAGGGTTGAAAGGATTTAAAGATACCGCGGAGTGTCTGGAGGTTGAAAAGGATTTAAAGAATACCGCGGAGTATACAGGGATTGATTAATGGATACCGGATAGGGGCAGGTTCTTCTTCTACTAAATCCACGCTGGATTAATCTAGAGCTACAAAAACATTTAGTAGATATTTAACCTGGGAGAAAGAACCCCCCCCCCTCATGCCAATCCTCCCCCCTCCCAATTCTTTTTAATTATAAAAAAAATATTTCTTTTTAATTTTCCTAATTTATATCCTGCTAATTTGTCTTAATTTATATCCTTCCTCAAATTTTTCCTTATTAATTTTTAATCAAACTTTTTGTTTTTGTTTCTTTTGTTCAATTAATTAATAAGAATGAGGTTCTTAAAGAGACTGGCTTTGTAATTTTACGATTCAAAACTGTTTTCCTTTATTCCTTTCTCTGATTAATATTAATCAGATAAAGAAATCGCTTTTTTCTATAAGAAATGCAATAAATAGAGATCCCCACAATTGAAAACAAACAGTTTTAAAAATGAAAAATATGAATAATGAGAAAAAGACTCGCCACTTCATGCAAAGAATAACTTCAAATTGCTTTGGCTCTTTTCTCATTCTGATTCTCATCCTTCAAACTTCATCTCATCGTTTCCTCTTTCATCCTTCATCCAACTAACCTTGAATGAGTTTTATTCTCTGGGGTTGAAAATGTTTCTGGTTTTTCGTCCTCATCCGTCTCCATTATTTCTAAATAAATACAAAAATATAAAAAATTAAATAATTAACTGTAATTTATCCGTTTACCAATGAATCAATCAATAAATATATCATAGTGTTGTTATAATTCCAAATAGTCCAACGAAATTGACACACATCAGTAGTGCAGTGTTCATAAATCCATTTTACTTAAAATGTTGATTTTCCAGCTATACTTGTAAACCTATTTGCTCTAAAGCAACATCAAACATACAGAATATGTCGATTTTCCCATTCCACAATATTATGGGTCTCTCTTTATCTATGTATCTTTCTATCTTTCTGTCTGTCCCAGCTGTCAATCTGTGCCTACTGTTTTATTACCCGCTGTTATATTGTGTTCTGAAATTACTGACTAAAGGGAATGAATAGTCGGACATTTATGTATTCATATATATATATATATATATATTATATACATATATATAAACATATATTCTCATGTTCAGTAAGTACACTAAAGTAAATGAGTTAAAAAGATTTCCTTGGGATTCCACGTATCATGTATACGCGTATCAGATGGTTCTAAAAGTTTTTTTAAATAAATAATTATTCGAATCTGTTTTAGTTGTACATGAGATTTTTGTATATGATTATATATTACAAAATTACATTTTTTTATATGCATAATGTTATATAAGATATTTTATTGCTTTTAAGAATTCATTTATAAAAACGTGTATAAGAGGAGGCACTTCCATAGCATAGAAAGTGCTACGGCTAAGTTTGCATAAGGTATATTTAGCCTTTGCAAATCCATCTTTATTTTGTTTGTTAATACTACGATACTAGGGTAGAAATAATTCCATCCTTTCTCGTTTCTCTTAACGTAGTAAACAGTTTAACTAGCTTTTCTTCAAAACAGCTTATTCTAAAAGTAATAGCATTCTTTTAGGATTTTAAGTTTGAAATGTGTTTACTGCTAAATCTTAAAAATGTTTTAACAAAATTAACACACTTGGTTTTGACTGTAAGTGTAACTCTGCGTAATTTAAAAAAAAATATAGTTTTATTGTTTATGTACCAGTAATAAAAGGCCTTTCTGTCCTATAAAATACAGAGTAGTTTTGAAAAATAAGCATTGCTTAGTGCTGACTCCGAAAACACGACTATTTGGGAGAAATAAACGTAGTTGAAAAGATAAAACTGATTGTCTTTGTAAAAACTAATGTGACCGTCTTGTTGATTAACCCTATTCCTGCTGGGGGGGGGGGTCAATTTGACCCCCCTGTAGTTTTTTTACATAACTCAAAAAGTATTGGTCTGAGGCTGTTGAAATTTTCTGACTTTTCTTACATACCCAAAGCCCTCCCTTTAGGCCTAAAACCGGGCTTTAATACTAACTGCCTGAGTCCTCAGGCACACTGCCTGAATGACTGCTTTTGCCTGTAACAAACTAAATCTTTTTTTTGACCCACTTTCACTTGTCAGATTTTGATAAAATTTAGCTTTTTGGAAAGCCTATGACATAAGGAAACGGATTGCACAAGTTTTGCGAAAAAAATTGCAAATTTTTTGCAAACAACCTGTCAAAGGAAATTTGCACATTTTTTAGTTTTTCTTGATTAAAAATCAGGTTATTTAAAATTTTGCAAAATTTTTTGCATATTTGAAATGACATGGTCAAGGGCTTTTCAAAAATGTATAATTTTTCATTTTTTGGACAAATTTTGTTTTAAAAGAAAACATGGCTGTCTTGTAAAAAACCTGGCAATCTTATAGAAAACATGACTGTCTTGTAAGAACATGGTAGACTTATAGAAAACATGACTGTTTTGTAAAAAAAAACATGACTGTCTTGTAAAAACATGGCTGTCTCGTATAAAGACATGACTGTTTTGTTAAAAAAAAAACATGGCTGTCTTGTAAAAAAAACTGTCTGGTAAAAAAAAACATAGTTGTCTTGTAAAAACGATAAATGTCTTGTAAACACATAGCTGTCTTGTAAGAAAGCATGACTGTCTTGTAAAAACATAGCTGTCTTGTAATAAAAGATGAATGTCTTGTAAAAACATAGCTGTCTTGTAAGAAAACATGACTGTCTTGTAAAAAAACGACCATCTTTTTTAAGAAAGTCTTTGATCTAAGAGAAGAAAAGCTAAAGTTTACAATGGTGGTAAGCGACCAATCGGAGACTTATTGTTCAACCCAGGGATAAGAAAAGGTTGCCCTTTACAGAGGTAATTACCCAAACTTCAGATCTTTATTTTACAACTTTTAGAAAAATAAACTTGAAACATGGTATCTTGAAATAATTTGTTTCTTAACGTTGGAAGTTCTGTTTAAATATATGCTGAACCTATACAGGAAACTCAGAATGAAAACAATGTTTTTGTAAATTCTATTTCTGGAATTATTTCCCTCCATCCCATTTCTATCCCCTGAATTTAATCCTGAGAAACAAAACAACAATTCCACGTTTATTTTCCCAGCAAACATTCATATTTTGATATCCTGCTATACAAGTACGCAAATAAAATGTGGGTTTAGCTTAAAGGGACAGACCGGCTATGTAAGATATTTAAACTGAGTATGTTGTGTTGTGGACAAAGTCTTTAGGATTCATTTAAGACATATGAAACTTTTCCACAATGTATAATTCCTGAGTTTGAGTGCATAGTCGACGTTCAAAATCATGAATTTTGGGTGGATACGTTTTCATAATCGATTTTTTTAAATTATTAAATAACAAGGACGAAAAATAAAATAAAATTTATACAGTAATCTAATTAGATGCTGAGGAACATATTTTTAAAAAATAAATTTGTCAATAAATCAATGCTAGAATTAATTATTTCATTTTCATCATTATATTGAATTTCTTATTTTCAATGAATTTATTCGCAGATTTCTACAAATTCTTCAAATGTCGTCTTTTCAATAATAATTCAGGAAAATCTGCAGCAAATCTTTGTGATTAATGAAAAACTAGAATAACGAGAAAATAGAAACTAATGATTGAACAAGATTACTTTTTTTCGATGATAAGATTAATTTTTATTTTCTCAACCTGTTCCTAAACAACTAATTAGAATTTAATTTATAATTTTGTTTACATTTTTTGTCGTGGTTATTTAATAATAAAAAAAAACAATTCTGAAATTATCCACCCAAAAATATGATTTTGAACGTCTGCTTTGCGCTCAAACTCAGGATTTACAGATCTTTAAAAAGTTTTATATGTCTCCATTGAATCCTAATGAATTTGTCCACAACACTGCATACTCAGTTCAACTACCTTACATAGCCGGTCTGTCCCTTTAAACTGGGTAGAACCTTGATTTCCTTTTGTCCTGTTCGGTTGAGATCTCAAAAACTTTCAAACATTATTAAAGAGCAGATAATTGTTTGCACCGAGTTAAATGGTATTCTATTAGAGCGTTATACTGACTTAAGATTTGCTAGTGCATAATTATACCCAGGAAACATTTAAACCATTATAGTTCCGATGGCGAAGATGTCGGGTAAATAAATCTGGACTTTTCATGTTTTACATCGGCATGTCGGAGACAAACATTTGTAGGGTAATTTCATACAGGGTGTTCCAAAAAACATGGGAATTCAGTGACGAATTCGATATCGTCTTGTTACGAATTAGCATTATAATATCTAATTTCAAAAGCCATAATATTAGTATGTCTGCTAGAGTTTATTTTATGAAAAGGGTAAAAGGCTATAAAAATGTGTCTATAATTTCTCCGCAAGATGAACAGTGAAGACGGACAAGTTTACTCTGTTTGTATACTGAAATTTACTTAAGTACAACCGTATGCAGTCAAAACATAAACAAACAAAATGTGAACATAGCAGACGAAACTCTCACAGATTACAGCTTTCTCAGTAGGTATCACTAAACTAAATCAAAGAATTGTTTAAAAAGACGATATCGAATTTGTCACTGAATTCCCATGTTTAATGGGGCACCATGTATATGTAAAATAACTAGCGAAAAACATAAGTAAACACTAAACAAACAAAGTCTGTCAGATATTTACCGTAATCCCCCAGATGTTTTTCATCATCCTTCCTCTTGTACACTATGTGTAAACCGGTTTTTATGCACGTGGAACAGCTGACATCCCGCCGAAATCTTCGGTCCAGTCTGTTGTAGGCCTTCACGTCATCATCCTCATCTTAGATTACAGGGTTAAATACTTTTAAGATAAATACTTTTAAGTTGTAGATTTTCAGAAAAAAAGTTGATATTAGATTAAATGTACGCACTGTGATAACCAAAAACAATTATAAATTATTTTGAAAAAATGATGCTTTTGATTAACAGACAGATACAAATTATGGAATTCTTATAAAAAGTGCAACTAAATGTCATGTACCTTAGATATATAAAACTATTAATTCAGTTATATCAAATATAATCTATGTTTGAAATACCAAAGATTTACACAATCAGGTTGCATTAGAAAAAATGAGTTTATGACAAAGGCTCAATTACTTCAGATTAAATTGGATTAGAGTTCCATATTATTAATGTAAAAAAAACACGAACGATTTTAAATAATTAAAGTTCTGACAATAAAACGTTTTATCTGATGAAAGTTTTCAACCCCCCTAAGAAAGCATAATCTTCAGGTAGGTCTTCTTCCTCTTCTTCTAGGTAATTTGGTTTGGAAATATTTCTATCTGAATGAATATCTGGGTCTGACCAATGGGAGGTCTTCTCGTCATGATTGGACCAATGAGAGGGAGGCTCTGACGTTAGTGGTGAGTTGTACATGTAGTTTTTAACGCTAGGTGGTGCTGGTTTCACGACAAGATCATCACCAATTGTCCCGTCCTGAAATTATGAAATTATAAATATGCAAATCTAAACTGGGAACTTTTAGACGAAACAGAAACCTTGAATTTCCTCTTTTTACGACAGATCTTAAATTGGTTAAAACCAGGGGGGATATGATAGTTCTTTATCTGTGTGCTCAGTTAGCTCTACAGTTAGCTCAGAAGCCAGGATTTACTTTCTTAATCTTTTCCTTGTCATTTCTACACTGAATAGGGATGAAACAGTTAGTTCAGTGAAGTTTAAGCTGCCGACATATTTGGTCCCAGAAATATCCACATGGTGTTCATTTAAACTGTCAAAAAGAGTATTTTGATTTCCCCAATAAAATATCAACCATGAAAGCATTTCTAGTTATATCAAGAAACAAGTAGAATAAGACAGCTCGTGTTGAAACTATAAAAGTATAATAAGATAAGTTTTGTTGAATCTAGCCTTGATTAGTCCAGGGTAAACCCAGCAGAGGCATATTCAGGGGGGGGGGGGCAAAGGGGCTCAGCCCCCCCTGGGTCAGTGAAATCTATGGTTTTCAGTAGGTGTTGAGCCCCCCCCCCCTCTCAAAAAGAAATTAACCCTCCCCCCTTTGTCAAATTCCTGAATACGCCCCTGGAACCTATAGTATAAAATCTAAAATTGCACAAAGTGTCAAAATATTGCAAGCTCTAGCTCGCCCAAAAGTCAATGACGACCTTGCCAATTCTTAATATATAAACTAAAGCTTGAAACACATGCTTTATAGTTTAGAATAAATATGCCTAGGACTACTAAAAGCGAGGTAAAATCAAACGTCAAAGCGTACCGATACTATTAAGTCTGTATCTGTGTTTGCAACCATCTTCAAACCAAGAAAATTCACCATGGTATTGTGTCAGTGACATAAGATTATATAAAATCCAATTCATAAATTGTAGTTTATAATCACACGGTTTACTTTTCCTAAGAGTGACGGGACGTTAGTGAGGATCGTTTTGTTGGTAATATTCAAATTAAGGGTTTTCTATTTCACAACGATACCATTTCAAGCTTTGTCTAATCAGCGATGAGGGATATATCCAGATTTTATAATTGAAAATTAAGTGCTGGAAAACTTGTATCTACAGTTTCAAGTGTAAAGGGTACTTTAGTTAGTGTGACCTGACCATGGTGGATTACTTGAAATTACGATCACAATCTCTTTAACCCTATTCCTGCTGGGGGGGGGGTCAATTTGACCCCCTGTAGTTTTTTTACATAACTCAAAAAGTATTGGTCTGAGGCTGTTGAAATTTTCTAACTTTTCCTACATACCCAAAGCCCTCCCTTTAGGCCTAAAACCGGGCTTTAATACTAACTGCCTGAGTCTTCAGGCACACTGCCTGAATGACTGTTTTTTCCTGTAACAAACTAAATCTTTGTTTTGACCCACTTCCACTTGTCAGATTTTGATAAAATTTAGCTTTTTAAGAAAGCCTTTGACATAAGGAAACGAGTAGTACAAGTTTCGCGAAAAAAAATTGAAATTTTTTTGCAAACAACCTGTCAAAGGAAATTTGCACATTTTTAGTATTTCTTGATTAAAAATCAGGTTATTTAAAATTTTGCTAAATTTTTTGCATATTTGAAATGGCATGGTCAAGGGCTTTTCAAAAATGTATAATTTTTCATTTATTGGACAAATTTTTTTTGCAAACATTTTTACTATATAACTAGATTTTGCAATAAAAAATTCTATTTTTGCAAATTTGCAATTTTTTTTGCAGATTCTAAAAGTAGAGCACAAGAGCTCTGCAATGATGTATCATTTGTCATATTTGGACATCAAACATGGGATTTAGAGGGGGGTCAAATTGCCCCCCCCCCCCCAGCAGAGATAGGGTTAAGTTCTCTTATTTAATCCTTGTTTTGTATTCAGGACTGAACCTAGTATTATGCAAGAACACACCTAGGCCTAGAGATAGGCATCATTTTAAAACGAACAAAATGTTCGAGTACGAAGACAAATATTCGTGAAAAAGGGTGTCGTTCAGAATAAAAAACGAATAAAATGGATCGTTCAGAGAAATAAAAAAAATATCATTTTTAAAAACGAACAATTATTTTCAAAAAGATTTTGAAAAAATATCGTTTATTTACTGAACAAACGCTTTTTGTAACACCTGTTCAAAAAATAATAGTTATTTACTAAACAAACGATTTTTAGAACAAATTTAAAAAAAATGGTTTTTATTGCTGAAGGATCATTTTATTGAACGAACGATGTAACTGAACAAGCGATTATACTGAACAATCGTTCACTGAGAAAACGAATGAAATAGATGGAAAATAATGGATAATTTGAGAACAAACAGCATCATTTTTTTGAACGATTGAAATAACGAACGAAATGAAAAGTCGAACATGCACATCTCTATCCTAGGCCACTATTTGCCTTTATTCCAAGCATGTAACCATGTGCATTGTAAAATATCATCTCCAGGTTTGATCAATGTTTTGGAGGAAAGGTAAGAAACAATATTTGTTAACATTTTGCAGTACGTTGACACTATTAATATTTAAGATTATTCCACATTTTGCAACACTTCAGAATTTGTAATTGTAAAATCTTGGCATAAGTAAAGGGCTCTTTTTTTAAAGTATGAATATGTGACCATATGATTTTATTTCACATCCAAGATTGAAATAGCAAACTTCTTCAGATTATGAACGATTTTAACTCTTTTCCTAAACAATACCTTTTTTCAGAAAGAGGAAATGAGTTGGAAAAAGTTAAGTTTTTAATTTGAAATAAGCTCTAACCTTCTCATTGTTTTTTTACTTATTATTTGCTAAAAAATTGCAATCATGCATTTATAATTTTGTAAGATTTCACAACATTTGTTAAGTGCAAAAAAAGCCAATTTTTGAACTCTCATATTCAAGTCTCTCACCCTATATTTTACCCATTGGTTTATGGTTCTATGATACGGCTAAATTGAACACAACGAAACTTCATGTCATAATATCAACAATCAATATATATATATATATATATATATATTATATACATATATATAAACATATATTCTCATGTTCAGTAAGTACACTAAAGTAAATGAGTTAAAAAGATTTCCTTGGGATTCCACGTATCATGTATACGCGTATCAGATGGTTCTAAAAGTTTTTTTAAATAAATAATTATTCGAATCTGTTTTAGTTGTACATGAGATTTTTGTATATGATTATATATTACAAAATTACATTTTTTTATATGCATAATGTTAACATATTACAGATTACATATTTTATTGCTTTTAAGAATTCATTTATAAACAAAATGCAAATCCATCTATATTTTGTTTGTTATTACTACGATACTAGGGTAGAAATAATTACATCCTTTCTAGTTTCTCTTAACGTAGTAAACAGTTTAACTAGCTTTTCTTCAAAACAGCTTATTATCCAGTGTACACATAAGTTTTACANTAAAGATATAAATAAATAGATAAATGAATCGATGAATAAATTGATGAATATATAAAGAATGATATAAATAAATAGATAAATGAATCGGTGAATAAATTGATGAATATATAAAGAGATAAATAAATAGATAAAAATTTTACTGCCTGATTGACATTGGCATTAACACTTAAAACAATGCACCGTGACAGCACAGATATAGATAGATAGATAGATAGATAGATAGATGTACATATATATTTATATATATAGATAGATAGACTCTATAGAAAGAATAGATGTATATTGTAATATTTACTGCATAGGTATATATATATATATATATATATATATATTGACCGTTTCATCTTCAAATAACGGTTAACATGCATACAATGATTCTCTAAAATATCTCTAAAATCATCTTCTGTTTGTTTTTACAAAGCCCCTCCTACTAAATCTTGTTATTTCATTCTACCCTATTTAGTTAAAAAAGATAGAATATCTTAGCAAAATTCATTTGGAGAACAGATTGTTATTGACAAAAAACTGTTTGCAGCTGTACAAATATGTAACTATTATCTAAAAACTTCGTTAAAAAAACGACCTTTTGTTTATAAAAAGTTATAAATCATTTAACAAATTATTGCCGACGTAATTACAATTAACCTTAACATCTTTAATTTTACAGTAATTGTTGCAACTTCCTGCAGGATTCTTTGCAACCTTTTGCCCTTAACGTTAGAAAAATAGAATTTATCTACGATAAAATTTGGACTTAAATATCTTTTAATAATCATAAAAGGACAACTTTAACCACTTAAAGGTTTAAATTGATATTAATTCTTAAAGATTGGGACTCATTTTTTTGTACATTAAATGTATTTCAAATTGCTCGATTAAAAAAATGTACATTTTTACAGATTTTAGTTTAAAAAAATATTTAAAATCATTTTTTAACGAAAACAAATTTCAAGGAATCAAAAAATAATGTAAACATTGAAGTTTATTGTACAGGGTGAAAAAATATTAAATATTTTTAGCTTCAAATTTGAAGGGATAGGGTGGGGTGGGGGGTGGGGGGTTAAGGAGGAAAGGTATGGTAAATATTATAAACAAGTTTAAACGGTATAATGCCTTTTCATGATTTTTATTAAAAAAAATATTTGAAGAATCGTGCAATGTTTACTTCCACCCCTCCCTCCTCTCATTCAAGTAAAAAACATTAAACTGCAGTTGCATTAGAACTTCATGCAGATGCACAAAAACTGCATAAGAAGGTTTACACTCGAATGCATTTAAAGATTTTTAACTTTGACTCATACCAAATGTTGGATCTTTGATTTAAAATTCAGACATTTTGTTCGATCAATAAAGATTTCAAGATTATATCTTACCATATAATGCTGTTCTCCTGCCTCTTGTTTATAAAGGAGGAGTGCTGCTTGTGTTCTGACATCCTGATAAACGGAACCCAAATCAGCTGATTCAATCTAAACAAAATGTCGTAAATTAGAAAAAAATTTGGCGGATTTTTAGAAGAAATAAAATCTGCGGATTTACATTACAACACGTTCTAACTGCTGAATTGTTGGTTTTAACATTTGTAAAAAGAACAAAAAAAATGCAAGGCTTGAAAATTTGAAACTGTAAACGTAAAGATTTTCCTTTTTCTGTTTTAAATCCATCTATTATTCATGGCGGGGAAAATGGATTATAAAAGTATATTTTGTTGAGAGTGAATTCTTTAATATTTTAAACATTTAGTAAGTTTAGGGGTGTTGTATGGGGTACGGCTTTTCTTTTGGTAAAATAAATATTTAAAAACACAATAGAATTCGAAACCAGTGGCCAGCATTAATTAGTTTTTAACAGAGAAAATGCGATAAAACCTCATAAAATATTAAACTTAAATTTTTTTGAACATTTTTATGGTGTTGTCTAATATATTAAACACCTATAAACTAATTAATAGAAAGATAGATATGTATCTAATACGTACGAAGACGGACCAAGCTTAAGTATGAATTATAGATTATAAATATAAAATAGAAACGTTTTTGTAGTGCATATTCAATAGAAAGATAAAGATTAAGAAAGATTAAGGACAAGAGAATCGAATTTATTAAGGCCAAGTGCATAGAATCTTAATGAATGTGTGTGTGTATTCAATTCAAATTTAATCTTTCTATTATTCTTAATTACAATATACATTGATGGATTAACAGAAAGATAAATAATTAGATGAATAAATAGAAAAATGAATCGATAAATAAATAGATGAATATGTAAAGATATAAATAAATAGATAAATGAATCGATGAATAAATAGATAAATATATAAAGATATAAATAAATAGATGAATGAATCGATGAATAAATAGATAAATATATAAAGATATAAATAGAATAGAAAAAAAACACAAACGCTCTGGTATACGGGCAACTTATAACTCAGAGTAGGAAACTATAAAAAGTATAAACATATGAAAATGAGTTTTGCAAAACCAGTTTCGCAAAAGTTTTTATTTCGATTGAGTTTAGAAATTAAGTAGTTCATTTATTCAATTCTCGACGAAACCTGGTTTATTAACAAAGGTTTCGTTTTGTTCTAAAATGTGTAAGTCTGTCACACTTACATATATGCATCAGACTATAGATATGGCATGAATATTCATTATCTAACTTGGGTGGGGTCATGGGGGGGGCCTCTGAAGTAACAAGGAAGCGTTATTATTACAGTGCGTTTTTTTGTAAAATGATGGTTCTGTTCTGATCTGTTTTGTTCTTTTCTTCTCTATTCTATTTTGCTCATTTGTGTGCTGTTTCATTCTGTTCTGTTCTGTTCTGTTCTGCTCTGTTCTGTTCTGTTCTGTTCTGTTCTGTTCTGTTCTTTTGTGTTTTGTTCTGTTCTGTTCTGTTCTGTTCTTTTGTGTTCTGTTCTGTTCTGTTCTGTTCTGTTCTGTTCTGTTCTGTTCTGTTCTGTTCTGTTCTGTTCTGTTCTGTTCTGTTCTGTTCTGTTCTTCTTTATTCTGTTTTGTTTTGTTCTGTTCTGTTTTGTTCTGCTCTGTCTGTTCTGTTCTGTTCTGTTCTGTTCTGTTCTATTCTGTTCTGTTATGTTCTGTTGTGTTCTGTTCTGTTCTGTTCTGTTCTGTTCTGTTCTGTTCTATTCTGTTCTGTTCTTTTGTGTTCTGTTCTGTTCTGTTCTGCTCTGTACTGTCTGTTCTGTGCTATGCTGTACTGTTTTTTATGTTCTGTTCTTCTCTGTTCTGTTCTGTTCTATTATGTTCTTCTTTATTCTTCTATTCTGTTATTCTTTATTCTGTTTTGTTCTGTTCTGTTCAGTTCTGTTCTGTTCTGTTCTGTTCTGTTCTGTGCTGTTTTATTCTGTTTATTTGTTCTTTTCTGTTCTTTTATATTATGTTCTTCTTCTTTCTTTTATGTTATGTTATGTCATGCTAAGTTCTTTTCTGCTCTGTGCTGTGCTGTGCTTTGCTAAGAAATTCTATCTGAAAATTCCTGAGAAATTCTCAGGACTTAGTCACCAATTTTACAGATTTTGGGGGAACTGAACAAAAACATAGTCTCGAGAAATTCTTGAGAATTTCTCAGGAATTTTTCTCAGAGAAATGCCTGAGAATTTGTATAAAATATTTCTCCGGAAATTCCTGAGAAATTCTCAGGACTTGGTTAACAATTTTACGATTTTTTTGGGAACAGAATAAAAGACTTAGTTTTAAGAAATTCCAGAGAATTTCTCTAGATTTTATTTAAAGAAATTCCTTAGATTATTTTCAGGAATATTTCTCCGCAAATTCTTGAAAAATTCTCAAGACTTCATCACCAATTTTACAGAATTTTCAAGTTCTATTTTTCTCTAAAAGGTGTCTCTAAAATGCCCTTCTATTATACACTGCCCTAACTAAATCTTTTTTTCTCTGCATACTAATTGATAACAAATTATAATTTATTTTAGAACTATCTTTTAAAACAATATTTTGGAAAAAATTGTAAATTTTTTTTATTTATTCTTGACAATTCAGTTGTCTGAAAAAACAAAATACATGACAACTTCATATGGCTATACAGTTCTGACTTGAGAAGTTGGTTATACTTTTAAATAGTTGGAGGGTCAATATAGATAGTTATTAAGATATTTACTACTATTGGGTCTTAGTCCTTGGGAATAGTTCCCAGGAAACTCCCAGGAATTGGTTCCGAAGAACTTTTCTCTGGAAATTCCCAAGAATTTTCACATATTTGGTAGACATTTTCTCCAGTTATTCACCAAAATTGGCAATAAAAAATTCCCTGGAATTGGTTACAAGAAATTCCTTGGATATGGTTATGAGAAGTTCCTTGGAATGGGTTACAAGAGATTCTCCAGAATGGGTTACAAAAGAAATTTATCAGAATGGGTTATGAGAATTTCCCTGGAATTTCTGTCGACATTTTCAGCAGATTTTCCTGTGAATGATTCCTGGGAATTTCCGCGGATTTTCCGCAAAATCCCTAATCAAATCCCTAATCCCTGAATTCAAAAGTTTTAATTTACATCTGGAACTGAAGAATAAAGCTGAAATCCGTCTCATTTAAAAGTTTTCATCTTTAATTTTCATCGATTTAATCATTATCGCTGTTTATCTTGACATGTTTGCGTATACAGCAGAATAGATCATATGCAATATCTATCCATATGTTTAAGGAGAAATGGAGGGGGGGGGTGGACATGATTATTCCCCCCCCCCCAAACATCTCAGTAAAACAAGTATATCAGATTTTGGCGTTGATCAATGTAGGGTATGGATGAGAAATAATGGATGCAAGTACGAACCTTTAGTACGAGGAAGCTTAATATTCCAGGGCCCAAAAGGTTATATAGCATAAATATGTGAAGTATCCCTGCAGTATGGAAACAGTACAACAAAATGGCCGTTTTACACTTTTTTTCTAGTAAATTCCCTTTCTAATATATATTCTATTCTCTTTGTTTATATTGTAGTACAATCCTTTATATATATCTTGGTTAGGTCCAGTATATATATTGTAGTACAATCTTTTATATTGTTGTTGGTTATTCCCAATATATTTATTGTAGTACAATCCTTAATATTGTTCTTGGTTAGTTCCAGTATATATTGTAGTACAATTCTTCATATTCATCTTGGTTAGTTCCAGTATATATTGTAGTTCAATCCTTTATATTGTTCTTGGTTAGTTCCAGTTTATATTGTGTAGTACAATCCTTTAAATACATCTTGGTTAGTTCCCGTACAAATTGTAGTTACCGATATATCTATCTTTTCTCTTTACGTCACTAGAAATCATGGATTTAGAGATCAAAAACCATTCTGTTGGATTAAGAATTGTTCTCTTTCTATCTATCTATCTATCTATCTATCTATCTTTCTCTCTATTTATCTATCTATTGATCTCACTATTCATCTTTCTATGTATCAATCCATCTGTCTATCTATCTATCTATCTATATATTTGAAACATCACTCAAGTTGACAGTATATGTTGCCAAATTATTTATACTTACACAGTGAACACAGTGGCCTGGAGAGCTCAAGCCACAAAACCACCCACTCAGGGTAAACAGGAGGGGGTAATCCCCACCCACCCTTCTCAGGGTACACAGGAGGGGGTAATACCCCCCTCCATTCTCAGGGTACACAGAAGGGGGAAATCCCCCCTTTTCGGTATACACCCCCATCCCCCCCCATAAACACACAAGAGGAGGAAATACTTCCTTCCCCCGCCCTCTCAGGGTACACAGGATTAGGTAATCCCCCCCCCCAAACCCTTCTCAGGGTACACAGAAGGGTATAATTCCACCCTCCCCCCCTCTTCTCAGGGTACACAGAAGGAGGTAATACAACCCCACCCCTACACGCACATACACAGGAAGGTGTAGTACAATCCTTTATATTGTTCTTGGTTAGCCCCAGTACAAATTGTAGTACAATCCTTTATATTGTTCTGAGAGTAGGGAGAGGGCTATATAGAGGGGTATTGACGATTAAATCCGCATTTATAGCCATGAAAAATCAATCAGTCAATACATGCATAAAATGATCATCAGTACTCATCATACACAAACATAAACATAAACATTAACATCACCAGGACTATGGTTCATGTTTATAGATTTGGCATCTTCATTTTTGTAAAAAACGGTATCTCAGCGATCTCGAAGGAAATTTACAAAGGAAAATTCAAATTAGGCAACACAATAAGTTCTGATCGAGTAATAACAAAGTTAATTGAAAAAGAACGATAAAGATGTACATCTCTATCGGAAGCAGGTATTGTTCAGTATTTGCACGAGAAGCTGCGGAATTGAAATGAAAAGATAATATCTTCATAACACCTCCAACAACACGCCATTCAATCGTAAATGCGCGAGAAAAATCTGTTTTTGCCGCGCAACATTTTCAATTTTGATTGTCCGGCGCAGTTTTCAAGAATTAGCACAGGAAACAATGAA